CATCGTTAATTTACGTTTAATGTTTTCTTTTAATAAAAGATCAATAATAAAAATATGGACTTTGTGGATTAACTAGGTTGATACAATCGAACGTGGAAAACTTGTTTAAAAATCGATGATATGTACACCTATTTTACGTAAATGCGTTGTTCAAAGAGGCTCATTTGAAGTTTAAAATATTTCTTATTATCCCCGAAATATACATACAACATTTCTCTCTCTCTCTCTCTTGTCGGATACACATACGCTCTAATTCATTCACATTGACATCATTCTTTAAATCAATAGAAAATGTTCCACCGGATACACTTCATTGTTTTAAAATTGTCAAAAGTCAAAAAGTTTGACTTAAAGGAAATAATAATTATCAATTTTTTTTCTTTTCTTATGTATACATCATTTGCGTAATATTATGCCCCAAGAGCATTCTCAATTTCAGAGGTGAAGAACAGGTTCTTCAATAATAAATAATCAACAATCGATTAAAATTAGAAAAATGAGAATATATAGATGAGTGAGTGACTGACGCGTGTATATTTCAACAATAAAAATACGCTGATGATAATTAGATGCACTTGTTCAAAACAATAGAATCAATTATTATTATTATTATTAATCGTAGAAATAAAATGGCAAAGAAAATTTCATATGCTAATTATTTTCAGATTTTGCAGACAAATAAATTTATGCTAATGACTAAAATGATACGTTTACATAATGAATGCGTTATGAAACGTAATTAAATGACTAATGATTTCAACTCGATGAACAAGTGTACAAATCGATTGATTACTTTGTGCACATCTTTATCTGATCCTGCTATTCGAATAAAATATAAATTATTATTAAGACTTTGAGATTAACTTTTGTTGCAGAAATGGTTAAATATATCAAGACTTTTACTGACTAGAGTAATACGAGACATTTAGTGCTCCTTCTACTAAAAAAATAAAACATTTGGATTTACAATGGCTATCTGTTAGAGATATGCGCCTGTAACTAGGCCTATTCTTATCCAACCTTCGGATACAAACTGAATTGCTTATCTCTACTAGTTGCCTTATTTAAAGATAATTTCTTGTATAAGTTTTCTTCTTATGTAGATAGATAAGAAAGTATATTTTTCCAGATTTATTCAAATATTTCTAAAAATAAGACTTTTAAACTGATTTATTCTTGAAATAGAATTTATACTACATGAAAATCAAGTAGAAAAAGAGCTCATTAATTTTATTTTTACTACTCGATTCTAAATGCCAATTGTTATATTTGTAAATAATGTGCTGTCTGATTGGACAGATTTATCGATCCAGTTCGTTCATTTATGATGATTTGTGTATATTGTAGTAGTATTCGTTCCTTTCTTTTCTTCTTTCTCTCCGTTCTCTTCTCTGTCATTGCTATTTGTCTCAACGCGCATATTTAAATAATATTCATACAGAATAATAGTGTATAGACTGACTGACTTTCTCTATGGCATTCTTGATAATGTGTTAAAATCCACAAAGAGATTTTTATTGAGTAAAATAAAAAAAATAGAAATCCGCGTATATCAAATGTGTAGACAATATTAATTATAAAGTTGTTGCATTTTATAAAGTAGAAAAAAAAGGAAGCGAACATTTTTTATTCAATCATGAATACATCTCATTCTTTGTTTACAGAAAATGAGGGAATGGTTTCCAATAAAAACTTGAATACTTATAGAATGAACTATTTTCTTTTACCATTTATAAGTGTTTAGATTTGGAGTATTAATCACCGGTAATTGATCTAATTGAATATAAGCTGAGTAGGATAAACATTCGTAAAGACGTATAACAATTTAATTCAGAAAAACAAGTTTCATAGAAAAACCAACTTTATTATGGTATTATTTATTCACAAAAAGTTATCGATCTTGTGTGTTAAAATGATCTTATTTTTCTTTTCCATAATAAAAGATCTTTGTTCCAATTAAGATGCGATTAGTGGCATGTTGGAATGGCTACGTGCATATGAATAAATGAATGTTGATCAATTCCCATTGAGTTTTGTTTTTTTATTAATATATCTATATGTGCAAGACTTCCAAACACTCCATTTATGAAAAAAATCTCTATTATGCGTAATAATAGATGATTATACAGACATTTTACATCAACAACAACTTGTTTTTTTTCATAAAAGAGAATTGAGAGAGAGAAAAAAAAAAAAGATCATTGCTCGAATAAGACAAAGTTCATAAAAATAAAGAGAAAAAGAATTTGAGATTGATGATATTAAATAAATAGATTCGAACGTTGAAGAAAAATCGATCGAAAAAAAACTTTTATGGTTTAGAGTGTATTAAATAAATTAGAGAATAATATACATTCCAGTTATGTGCTGATGAAGCAATTATTTTGTTATATCGAAAAGTTTTTCTTGTTTACAGAGAACAAAAGACAGTCCACAGAGAGATGTTTGCACTAGTTCGAAAAAAGTAACATTGTTTACAAGAAAAATAAGTTTTTACATCATCAGAGTTTTACATTATTATAGAAAGTATCGGTGGTAATAGGTATAGTGTATATCACGTCTGCTTTTTAATTTTGCTCCATTTTCTTAATCAAAATGTTTTCTTCTGATTTTTTGAGAACAAAGTTTGTCTAGAAGATTATAGTACAAAGTAGCAAAGAGAAAAAATAATTCTCTCAAAAAGCTTATACCACTTTTTTCTTAGCCATGGCACTGCTGCTAGAACGACTTTTAGCTTGATAGAAGTTCAAGATTTGCACTAGACTAACAAGATCTGTACTAGAGATGAAAAGTGTATGTTCAAGAGATTTTCAATTACATGTATTGTGCTAATATTTTATATGTTTTGCTTTTTTTTTTGGTTATAAACACAGAGAACTTATACCAGCGGGCGTTGGCAGACCTAGAAAATACTCATCCCAAATACTTTTCCGATATAACGTTTAAATAGAGGATTTGAGATCGAATTCTGCTGTCAGTGAGAAACAATAGATGATGTGTCTGTTTTACTTCCATTAGCATTTTTGTCGATGGATCGTCCTGTAAGAGTAGTCAAAGGAGAGAAAAAATTCTCAGAAGTATCTTGGGAGTAATTACATCAAACCATTTGACACGACTAGAGCCCAGAAAGCAAAGGTATATACTACTAAAAATTAAAAAAGCACATTACACATACAGCATATTATTTTAACAAGTTAAGATATTCTCAGCTGCTGACAGACAACATCTTCTAAAGAGCAACGTCAACGTTGAGCGAGAACGTTTCATCAAGGCATCATCGCTAAATTTAATGTATTTATAAATTATCTCAATAAATTTTTAGCTGTAATTTTCCAACATTTTCGAAAAACAAAGGATTTATAGAGTAATTTCTGTTTTTTTCCTTTAAATTAAAGATTGTGAAAATCATGCTCATTTTTCTCTGTTAATGTGTTGAATCTGTATCTAATTGTGACAAGTAATCATCATCTAATTAGTATGATGAAAAATAAGATAAAAAAAGGTTAATTAACTCTATTCTATTAAAATGTATAGTGCTTGTTGAGATTTGACATTGACTAATCAAAAAAAAAAGAACAAAACTTTAAGCGTGTGTATGAAAAGTTGATATATATATTAATCAAAAAAGGATAAACACCTCATCTCTATATTTTGTACTATTTAAAGCATATTGGTCTCTCTCTCTCTCTGTCTTTTTCTTTTTTTATACGATAAATATGCACACCTATTTAAGTTGTATTAAAAACGTCTGCTTTCATTTTTCCTGTTCTGTTTTTTTCTTATTCGGGCAAATAATCATCTTTCAAATAGGTTTTCGGCACTCTTCTTTCGGTCGGAATTTTTCTTTTTCTCTCCTTTTCTCTCTCTCTCTTTTTTTTTCTTCTTTCGTGCCACTATATACAAAATATAATTGTACAAATCGGTGTCGCATTTACACGCATGTATCGACCAAATTACTCATTGTGCTCAATCAACTAAGAGAATAAATGGTGTGATAAATTTTTCTCTATTTGCTGCTATTAGTATTGTATTATTGTCTCGACGAATAGGAAACAATCTTTTTCTCTTATTTTCTCGTATTTTTTTTCTTCTTCTTCTTCGTTGATAATAATAATAATAATAATAATAATTGTAGATGTACACCAACAACAGCACGTAATCTTCATTTATGTTATTATTATTATATTCATTCGATATAAAGAAAAACGAGAAAGAAAGAGAGAAATAGCTGCCGAGCGATTCATTAACAACAATCATCAGCACACACACATCGTGTACATGAATGATATCAGATAAAACAATAATACACACGCATATATACACGGAAATCTAGATGTCTATCATACAGTCACTTGATAATAAATAAAGACAATTTTTTATTTACAAACTAAAACAGAAATCAGAACATGTAAGATATAAATGTTTTGTTTATTCGATGATATTCTATGCATGCGATGAGATTAGATCGGTTTATATCATCCATCTATTGCGGTACCGTTTTTTTTTCTCTTCCTTATCCTTATTTACATAATTGTAACAGGTTAGTTGGAAAAAGGAAAACTATTTAGTTAGATTTATCGTGAAGAAGTTTTGTTGATCATCACACAGGACTAAAATTGTCTATATTGACTGTTTCACTACTCAGCAGATAGTAAAACACCCATTATCGCATGCAAAATTCTAATGTAAAGTTTTATCAAATTCGATATTTAGGACCTTGTTAGAATTGAAATAATTCGAAAAACATTATGATATTATTTTTGAATATATTCAAAATTCCGTGAGATATTAAATCTCAGCTATTAAATCATCACATACTCATCTTAGTGCTCTACTGATATTGTTACTCTTTAGCGAAATGACTATCTTCATGCTTTAAAAATTCAATATCTTGAATCGGATAAGAGATGTCAATTTCCATTTTCAATATTATTTTTAGGTATTAATATATAACATTCAAACTGATGAGTAATTGGAAAATTACTGATTCTTCTGACATAATGAAAATGAAAAACGAAGTCAAAGTTGAATCTTCAAATGTCGATTTAGTTTCTGTTGTCAATTATACACATAACAAATTGAAAAATAATCTTTCTAATACTACTGACAACAAAGCAACGACAGATGATATTGAGTCAAATCTTCCATCGATACCAGTCATTCTGTCTACATCACCCAAACAGTCACAAGATAATGTAGATAATATTCGTCCAGCCTGTTTAGTTAGTCGAATACTATCTCCGATAAACAGTACAAATTTTTCCACATCATTGTCGCCTCCATCATCCTCTACCACAACATCGTCAACATCGCCCGTTAAATTACATCGGCGAACATTTAACATCTGTGATATTTTGGGTGCTGATAACAACAACAACAACACAAATAATGATCTCGTTGACGATAATAATAATAAAAATCGACAAGAGACAACAAAAAATGAAATGATTTTTCTATTAAAAAAACCCAAAGCTCATCGTTTATCTGATATAATAAAAGATTATTCATCCACTACTACCGTCATAAATCAAGTACAAAAAAATGATAAAAAATATTTGACATCTGCACCAAACTCTCATTTGATAAAAGATGAAAAATATGACAATAGAAAATCTATTAAACGAACATTTTCACATTCAGACGATGATTCACTAAGTGATTGTGATGCATTAGGTTGGTGATCTTATGAGTTGAATTTAAAGAAAAATTCTGAATTAAATTAAATTTTTTACATTTAGATGATCAATTATCAGAAAATGGTGATAAACGAGATGGTAGTCCAGATTTAAATGCTTCAATTAGTGATGGTGATAAATCAAAATCATCATCATCATCCGATAAACCATCAAAACAACGTCGAGCACGCACTGCCTTTACCTATGAACAATTGGTTGCATTAGAAAATAAATTTAAACAAACACGTTATTTATCTGTATGTGAACGACTAAATCTCGCTTTATCATTATCATTAACTGAAACACAAGTAAAAATATGGTTTCAAAATCGTCGAACAAAATGGAAAAAACAAAATCCCGGTTTGGATGTTAATAGTCCAACAATACCTACATCAACAAATGGATGTTCGTCACCATATGCAGCGGCAGCTGCCTTATGCGCTGCACAATTTGGATTTCCTTCTTCACATTTATCGCATTCCGCAGCCGCTGGTTATCCTTTAATGTCACCACTCTATGCACATGCTCTTTATGCAAGAAAATTTTCTTGAAAACATTCTTCTTCATTTTTTTTTTTGTCTGTCTTATATTCCACTTGTATTCTACATTTTTTTGTAGTTGATGTATCATTGTACGATTTGTTATGTTATTTACTATACAGAGAAGACTTCAATTTACGTTGATACTATGGTAACGCATTTAGATTCACTCAACAAAAATATGATGGTCAAAACAAAATAATGCACAATAATATTAGATGAATGGTGGTGAATAAATCACATTCATCTACATTCGTGTGTTAGAAGCAAAGAGTTTATCGTAATTCATGCTTTGTATAAACTTTTGATATTCAAGTTGTCACTGTTCTATCAGTTTATCTTCTATAAATGTTCTATTTTTTTCTACGAGATCACACACCATCAATGTTTATGCGACAAATTATAATAGAGTATTTATCCTTTTTACAAAATAACATTCACATTTATTTGTGAAAAACATTTACTTGACATGATCTATAGGGATGAATATTATTATTGGGACATAGTAGTGAAACTATTAACATTAAACTAACGGAGAGTTGCGCAACACGACATTTTAAAATGCCATGTTGATGATAGTACTTTCTGATATTAAAGAGCTGTAGTCGTAATCTAATTTGTCGATGATACCAGTAAATAATTATATGTACAAATATCTCTATAATTAAGTGAATGATAGTTAATTTCTTTTTGCAAGTACATGACATATATATCAACATCAGTTTTTTTTGCAATTATAATAATCTTCTTGTTTTCTCTGCTTATAATATAAAATTATTTCGTTCTATACATATCATTCATCTTTTCTTTTTCTTCTCCACCCAAACTGTTCTTTTGGCACTCAACAACAATCAAACTAAAGCATAAGGTCGTATTTCTGATATACACTTTCTATTTTGTAAGTCAAGTGTGTATAGGACACATAGGACGAATGAGAAAATACGAGTTTATCTAAACTCTTCTTCTTTCTCTTCGAGCATTTGGGAATATAGAAAGAAGAAAAAATCTTAATTCGATGTCTATTTTAGTAGTTTACCAACGTTTGTTATATGAATATTGTGTGTATCAATTTTTTTTCTCTTGTGTACATCATTATCAGATTTTATCGAACAAAATTAGCTGTCTCACTCATCAAATAACATATCATGCTGAGATTGTGAAGAACGTAACGCATTTAATGATTTGGATGAATATGTAAACAATATCTATTCAATTAGACGCCAATTCCATCAGGTGATTTGGATTAAAGATTAAGTTCAACTAGATTTCTCTATGTGCCGTATTAAAAGTCAATGTGAGTAAAAAAGAAAAATAGCTAAGTTGAATAAAAATTTAGCTTTAAAATAGTAATAGAAGTTGTTTTTCACGAAGATTTCTAAGTAATTCTCATAATAACATGACAACATAAACGTTTTTTTTTCTTTGCACTTTTTATTTTAGTGTCGACAAAAATGTTATTGGTTCTTAACTGCTTGCATACCGACAATAGACTTATGATAGAAAAATTTCTATATAATAGCAAAAGAGATTATCGTATTCGAAGAGACAAAAAAGTTAGACAAAATATTGTTTGTCAGTTTCAATTCATCACGTATCAGTGTCGACTTGTTAGTTGTCAGTAAATACTTATATCAGCTGCTTATATAGAGAATATATAATGTTCAGCTTTCTTTTATTGGATATATATAGATATTCAAAGATAACAGATATGATGGCAGAATAAATATCAGTCTCAAACTTTTTCTATTTACATCAGAATAGTGTGGAGAGAGTAAGGTGAAGAGAGACGCAGAGAAGATCTATAACTCGAAAAATTTTCATACAGGATAAAGCTCTAGAATATAAAATCTTTTTTATGTGTTTTATTTTGTAAGTATTACTAGTGCCAATCACGATACGATATTTTCATCATCCTGAGAAACAATCCAATTTAACTCTTATGATTTAAACATTTCAGTCATTTTCACAAATATTGTTTTGAATAAAACATGCGAACGTTTATCGTGGTAATTTATTATTGGAAGATATTGGATAATTGTTTGTTCAACTGTGGTCCTACCTTATCCTGCAGGATAGAGTAAGAGCGCCCTACACACGTTGTTTATGATTAATAGAATAATTTAAAAAAAAATTCTGTTTGTATTCATCTAAATTTGTCTTTTAACTAGATAGTCTCGTTTTGACCAGAAACATGTGACAATGAGTGAGAAAAAGGTTAATATGTGTCAAAGATGTTTGTACTCAAGTTTCTTTTGAAAGAAAAAGTTTTAAACACTATTCTTTGTTGCCAATCATTATAGATGAAGAATGAGCCACTCCCGCATGCTCTTGGTTAACGGTAGATTGTGTCTATAGTGAAGCAATTCTTTTTATTTAAAAATTGAAAATTTGATGTTAAATGTAGAATACTTTAATTTTTTTCTGAAGAAAAGAGAATAAAAAAAGAATTTTTCATGCTTTAGATTTAGTTCTTCATCCGAAATTGTGACGATCTATTGTGAAGAGGTATCTATTAACGTTATATATTTTTTGTAAAATTCTTGCTAATTTTCAAATATTTCAAAAGCAATGTTGATAGATCATCCTATGAATTGTTTTCTCAGCAAAAAAATTCTATTCTTTTTTCGTTCTTTTCTTTTTAATGAGATCGTTTTGTTTCTCGATAAACACTACCACCAATCGCTGTTTTTATCAAGAAAACATGGGAAGAAAGAGAACATAATTTTCCCTCTCATTATTATTATTTGTGTATGTGTACGCGAAAGTTAAAAGGAGTGCGAAAAGGAGAGTTAAAGGAGATAGAAAAGCAAACGCGTGGACAATTTAATGTGTTCTATTGACGCAATTATCTATTCATGCCTCAATTGTATTTAAATGTTGCCTTATGGACAACTTTGTTTCGTTTCCTCTCTGATTGAATATTAGACATATCTTTTTTTTCTTGGCTAAGTTGTTACATTTAAGTATATTTAAAAAAAGCGAAAACAGTATCCAGACTTGAAGCCATCAATATATGCATGGTTTCTTCTAGTCAAGAAAAGGCTACAAACTTTTTTGCTATACAAAATATATTTTAATTTCATAGTGTAGATTAGAACGTAAATTTAATAAAAGTAATCATGACTACTGAGTGATAAACGTGTACATTGATCCTAGCAAAATTTTGAGCTTAATATTTTTTAAATCTTTCTTGAACGTCATGTTTAAAAAAAATTTTAACGTCAAATTGATAACAGCAGAACAAAAATAATTAGATATAAAGCACACACATATGTCTAATGGCAATTTCAGACACCAACAAACAAACAAATTCGAACTCTTAGAATTAATTACTCCTTTGAAACAAGTTAAATATGATCGTAATATCTGTTGTAATATGACACTTATAACGGAGATAAGGTGTATTGATATCAATGTACATTGAGTTCGCACATTTTGATTTATTTATTGCTGTTTCATCATCATCATTATTTGTCGTTCATACTGAGAAAGAGAGAGAGAGAGAGTTGCCTTGACTTTATTTATATAGCTCAATTCACAACAATATGCAATACAAAAATCATTGAAACGGGAGTGTCATACTCTGCACATTATATATATTATATATAAATAGATAGAGACAGAGATATGTTTCAAAAATGATCTATCCCTAGAGTCTGTTTGATTTATCAAAAATGACCAACATTAAATGAATGGGCTGTTTTAAAACAGTTTACATACATACACTGAAGAAAACAAACACAAACGGAATCAGTTATGATGTATATAATAAATTACATTCATGCTGAAAAAATCATTTTACAAAATGTATAGCTTATTTAATTATACACTTCGGATTTAGACAGAAATAATTCATTCATTTAGCAAAAAACTTTGAATATATTTGAATCAACAGTTCGATAAGAAGTTCTAAAGTTTATAAGGAAATATCATTCGTTATATGCACCTAAACATGTCGTTACGTGTAAATTTCTGACGTTATATATGGTAGATGCATTTGGAAATTCTATGAGGAATGTCTATGTATATTATTAGGAATGTCTTCATATAAACAAATTATGGTTTAAAATACGACGTTTTTCGACGAAGACAAGGGAATAAGTCGCTTTTCTTCTACAGTGTCTCACAGGAAATTCATGTTGTCGAATTTATGCAGTTGCAACATCAAACACGTGATGGGAAGTAGACGTTTTTGTGAACAAAGGATACGTGATCACAAATAAAAAACTTTGTTTCGCGGATATTTACATGTGAAAAGTTTTTTTCCTGAAAAAAACCGACTATCATTTCAAACAAGTTCGCACAGTTTTATCGACTAAAATTTCGCTATGATTACACAGGAACCTGAATAATAAAGTCCGGTACTTCTTTAAAATACAGCTTGTTTTGTTTTCTTCGGCTTCCAAGCATTTTGGATGTTCTATCTAAAAGGTGATTAAAAAAAGATGGTCTAGTTTCTGATATTCCATCTGCTTGCTTTGTTTTCTTTTCAGATATCTGTAATATCGCTGATATTGATATAAAAATTTGATACACATATAGAGTCATAGTTCTTTCTATCGTTCTCAGCTGACTCAGGATTATAATGTAGTGGCGGATCTAGAAAAAATTTTCGGTCCTGGCGGATTTGTACAAAATAGCAAGTTTAGCAATTTTACTTAGGAGTTTCTAGACGACACGATTTCTACTCCTTTCTCGCTCGGTACATTGCACAAGAATGAATGTATAATAGTATGAAATCAAAAATTTCGGTGCTGGCGACCGCCCACACCCTAAATCCGCCACTGTTATAATGTAATTGAATAAAGACACAAAGTGAAAAATATATCAATACACATATCGAATTGTTGATGCTGCTTTGGATTAGCGTATAGAAAATTCAACGAAAAATTTTCTCCTGTATAATTTCCTGTTACTAAATTAATTGAAAGGATTCCATTTTCAAAATTTCAACATAATGAGAAAACACAAAAGACGGGGGGCGATAAGAGCCAAAATCAGCCTCCTCACATATTAGTCTTATATTCACGGATCTTATATAGTTTTTGTCTGCGATTACACCAAATATATTTTTATACCTTAAAACATCCTTTTCAGTGCCCCTGCCAACAATTTTCGCATATAAAACTATTCTCTCGTTAGATGAACTTTTCGCAGAATATTTTCATTATTTCATCCCTTCCGCTTAGAGCAAGCCTCAACTATTATAAACCATTCGATAAAGAATTTTACGGGTAACAAACTGCTACAGCGGGCTATTTTTGCAGGATTGATTCTTTTTTATGCGCTGGTAGCCCGAAATAACCTTGATTTTCCACGGCTCGGGTTTTGTTTAAGACCGAGTTTTACGAATGTTTGGGTTTTCAGGCTGTTTTCACTTAATATTATAAACAGATCATTATTCACTCAAAAAATATCAGAACGAGTTCAAAACTTCAGAATGTACATTATTCAGGCTCTTCCGTATTCTATTTATAGACGATCCAGAAAGAGCTTTTACAAGACTCTTAGGTTTTCCGAAAGAGTTTCTAGAAAATCCATTAATAAAAATATTCTTCTTCGATCTTCAAATCATGTTTAGCTAACGAAATCAATCATATCCTAAACTTTTCAACACGTTCTAACGTTTTCTGAGTGAACGGTGCGTTTTTTAATATTATATAAAAACAGTCTGAAATACTAATTTTCCTAAAACTCGCTTTTTTTAACTCGCTAGATTTTTAAAATTTTCCTAAAACAAATATTGCCATGAGACTCAGCATGATCAATTACCTATAATCCACCAGCTTTCAAGGCTACCAATAGTCACCGGATGTCAGTCATGGGACTTGTATGAAATCCAATATAACGTCCGAGCCGTGGAAAACCAAGATCTCGCTTCACTTCCATTTTGAAGAGCAGATTCCGGGCTACCAGCTCTTGAAAAAAAAACAGTAGAATTCCACTGAAAAAATTTTACACACAACCTGGTTTTGTTTGTTGACCTACTGATCTGCTGATATTCAAAACATTGTAAACATTCTATACACTTAAACGAAAACGTAAATTTTCATGTTCTCAAAATCGGCAAGACATCGCCGATTAAGCTCAGTTAATGAGTCGATTAATCATGTGCTCAATTACAATTTTAGAAAAATCGATGGATTCATCGATTTTCCCCCCTAATGACTGTACTTGCATACAAGTACTTCTGCCCAAGTACCTTCGTAAGTTTTGTCCAACGTTTCTGACTTTTTTCGCAAGTAAATCAAGTATTTGAACTACTTGATCTGCTTGTCAAATACTTGGCTAAGTACTTGCCCAAGTAATCCGTAAGTATCTGAGGAAAGTTTGACAAGTAAATAACGTACTTGGCAAATGCTACTCTTAAATAAATTCCACAAGTACTTGGGAAGTACATGACAAATAATATGTGTTGATAGAATGATGTGTATTCTATTGTTTTGTTTTTATTTTAACATAGCGAGTGCATCAGAAAGAATTCTGATGAATGTACTCATAAAACGTTACTCATATAAACGTGACTATGTAAGGAGTGTGACCATTCACGATATTTCCATTTGCTCAACTATTATCAGATGGACTCGAGCAAATCTGATCAGTACTCTCAAAAGAAAAGGTTTACTGAAAAACCAAGGGTAAAAAGCACATTCCGGAATGGGTACAAAATTTCTGAAATGCCATTCCGGCATTTTTGCCACTCTAAAATGGTGGACTGCCATTCTGCAATAAAACAAATTTTTTCAGTTTTAGTCTAAATCTTGGTCTACATACAGCTAAGCTCGGTTTCCAAAAAATGGAATGGCAGAATGGCATTCCACAATAGACGTATTCCGGAATGGGTACATTTGTTTTGTAGTGTGTTTTTTCCCTTGCTATAAAAATTAAAAGAGTATAGAGAATTCCAACCATTTCTACACTGTTTAGATTTGGTATGACATCTGGGATTCATCATGCGACTACAAGAGTCACTAAGTGTTTTGAAAGATAAATGGTTTTGTACGGTCACTTTGGAAAAAATAAAATTGTTATAAAAAATATTTTTTTGCTAAACCTTTTTGATGTTTCAGTAAAAGTAATCCGGGATCTTTTCGTACACTACCTCTATTTCGTCAACCGCCTACAAAACCGTATTTCATAAAAGGTTTATTGCAAAAACACAAAAAACTAAAGGTTTGATAGTAATCCTTTTTGTAGACAATACAAACCCTGAGCTATGCACAACCCTGTCGCCAATCTGGTGCCGAGCACACGCCATTATGTTTCGAAGTACTTGCTGCTGTTCTAAAAAAAAACAAGTACTTGTCCAAGTACAGGAAACATTTCTCAAGTATTTGTTTACTTGCAAATTTCCGCAAGTACTTGCACAAGGACTTATCAAGTAGTATTTTTGGAAAATACTTGTGAAGTTCCTATAATGCATGTCAAGTACTTGTCAAGTACTCGTAGAAATTTGCAAGTAAGCAAGTACTCGCTCGCAATTACATTTACCACTAGGATTGCAATTTCGGCAAAAATTAAAATTATCGATGATTTTTTTTACGACTCATTATAGGAATCACACTTAGTCAAGGATTTTTCTGAAATTGCGCTTGATTATTAAAAGTTAGCCGATTTTGCAACGTGAATAAATGGTGAAAATTCTACTAAAAAGAGATAATTTGACATCTGACAGAATTACGTGCTAATATTCCAAGAATTCAACGGCGCGGGTAGAATATGCTTATATAAGTATGAATTCACATTATTAGGCTTTTAACGAAAGGATATACTTCATGTAATAAATAATATAAAAATATCAGCCTATTCTTCGAGTACAACGCCTTCTATTGAGCTTTATTATTCAAAACGTAACGAGCGTTTGATAGTGACATCTGATAGTGTTTCTGCTGGTACTTTGATTAGTTGATAAATAGACCATATTTTCATTTCGAGATGGATAAAGTTGCTCGCACACTGTGATCAAGGACAGCCTTTTGTTTTTTAGTATTTCTTCTGAAATTAGGAGTAATTTACTTCGAAATTTTCTATTACTTCTATTTTACGCCAGTGGATCAGTTAAACAACGAGTTTAACAAGTTTTTAATAATTTTTGAACACAAATAGCAGTAAAAAGAGACTAAATCGTCCAACAAGGGTTACTCTTTTATTAAACCTCGCTCGCACTTGTGTGGATATCTCACTTGACTTGAATTGTAAAATGAAATCGGTACAAGTACGCAAGCCGTGAAAGCTGTGGGAGTGAACATTTTTAACAAAGATTTTAAACAACGTTTACAATCATCAGTTGAATCAACAATTGGACGTAAGGCAGGTAGTAGACCATTGTTTTTCAATCAATTTACGACCAGGACTGTGCGAGTCCCGGTAGATGTCGAGTCCAAATCATGAAGCGAGCAAACCGAGTTGAAATACAGTTCGAGTCCTGAGCCCATTTCGAGTCCAATAATATTTTTAAACTTTTTCCGATGTCATTAGTTAAATTTCTTTTTTCTCCTGTGCCATATGGCACATTTTTTAAGTATAATTTTTAAAGAGAGAAACACATGTGCGTCTATATAGCCTATACTAATATTGAAAAATACGAAGTTCTCTGTTCATTTATGTTAAAAGTTGAATCGATCAGACTCAAAATACAAAAACACAAGGTCCGAGTCCACCAAAAAATCTTCCAGTCCAGACTCGGACTCGCCCAGCTCTGTTTACAAGCATAAATCAGTTAACTGAGCATGCCATGGAAAATTTTCATTGTGTCTGTAATACAACCGGTAAACAATTACTGGGTAATTGGATGAATATTCCTCATGCCTATTTGTATGAAAATAATTTCATTTCCTTACCAATATATTATAGTAAACATACGAAAAGTGATCTGAAACAATTGAATATATCATTGAATCAAGATTATCTAAGTCAAACACAATTAGATGAATTAACAACGTTAGAAAGTCACAATGTTAATGTGATTGCTAAACCGATAGTTGAAATTAAGTTTACAAAGAAAACAAGCTTAATTGAAAAAGAATTGAAGAGCAAAGGTCCATTAAAACGTTTAAAAGTTCGTTATAGAGAAAAAAAAATGTTCTTCATTATTATCAACCCGAAAATCAAAACAATCTAAAAAAGGAATTAATAAAAATGAAACAGAATTAATGACATCAACAAATAACAGAGATCTGATGGATACACCATTTATTCAACGAATTACAGAAAAGAGGACAGCGAAATAAAATAAACAACAAAACACGTTAAACAAGATTATGCATCCGAAGCAATAGTAAATGCACAAAAACGAAAACGTCTATTAAAACTGCTTATTCGAGATGAGAATAATAAAAACAGTAAAAACAATGATAATGCAATAAAAATGAAACAAAGTGGAGGAAGAAGCGAAAAGAGGACAAAGAAAAATCGTGTATTTGTTGTTTAATTTTATATATATATCATTGTTTATGATTAATAAAATAATTTAAAAAAAAATTCTGTTTGTATTCATCTAAATTTGTCTTTTAACTAGATAGTCTCGTTTTGACCAGAAACATGTGACAATGAGTGAGAAAAGGTTAATATGTGTCAAAGATGTTTGTACTCAAGTTTCTTTTGAAAGAAAAAGTTTTTAACACTATTCTTTGTTGCCAATCATTATAGATGAAGAATGAGCCACTCCCGCATGCTCTTGGTTAACGGTAGATTGTGTCTATAGTGAAGCAATTCTTTTTATTTAAAAATTGAAAATTTGATGTTAAATGTAGAATACTTTAATTTTTTTCTGAAGAAAAGAGAATAAAAAAAGAATTTTTCATGCTTTAGATTTAGTTCTTCATCCGAAATTGTGTATTGTTTTCAGTTGAAATAAAAGTTTTTTAATGATATATTTTTAACAGCACATGTTTCATTTGTAAATTCGGATATTCATAATTGAAAAAATCATAGGATTTTTATTTTTATATTTGTATTATCGAAATTCAAGAAGTTCTTTGTGTTATATCCTGTGTATGGTACTAAGCAGAAATATGCAGCATTCGAATTTGTGTTTAGTGGGTAATGTAACAGATGATGTTGATAAATATAAAAGAGATCTGAAGAAAATTTTCAAGAATTCTTGATTTGATCAAAGTATAGTTAGGTCAAGATAAGCCAGAATGAAAAGAGCTTCAATATTCGGACATTGACCATATCTGCGATCAATGTTCAACAAATGTTGCTAAGTTGAGAATCCAAAACTCTTCATTCAGACGGATGATTAGTAGCTCGAGTTGGTTTTAAAATGAATCTAACACAACTAGAGTAAAACAGAGCCCAATTTCTGACATTTTTCGCTGCAAAGCCATTGTAAGTCTCAGAAGTGAAAAAGTCAATAATCGAGTGTGAAATATTTATAAATTTTTCTATTACTACTGTGATAGATGAAAACTCTCAAAAGCGAGCTCTGCCTTATTCTAGATATATCTCCCTGGAAAAAAATAGTTGGACTCGACCTTTTTAATATATCATTACTATAAAAATACATTTAAAAAAAAATTATTATATATTCTGGAAGCGCTCGGGGTTCTCTATCACCCTGTATATTTGTGTCTTATCTTGCATTTATTTGCCGAAAAATAAATTGAGTCCAATGACGGCCCTCTCATCGTCAGATTTCTATGAATTGTAACGGGTGTGGCGGCTCAGTGTTTTCTATTTTTTTTCGTATTTCTTTACGATCCAAAGGTTCATGTTTTTTTTTAAAAAGATGCGCCATGAAATGCTCTACAAAACCATACCTAACTTAGAGCTTCAATCAAGAAAACTATGCAGATTATACGAAAGACGAAAAAAATGAAAACTGTGAAAATCTGTTATTTTTTTCCACTTGAACCTTTTCTTTTGTTATTATTTCCGTAAAAAAGGGTTGCAAAAGTGAGAAGTCAGTAGAATATATAATTACTTTTATAAAAAGCAATTTTTATAGTGATAATAAATTTAAAAAACAAATTGAAGAAATTTGTAACAAAATGCAGTCCGTAGGAATCTGACAATGAGGAGACCGTCATTGCACTCAATTTATTTTTCAGCAAATAAATGCAAGACAAGACATAAATATACAGAGTGAACTCCGAGCGCTTTCAGAATATATAATTATTTTTTTTAAAATGTATTTCTATAGTGATGATATATTAAAAAGATCGAGTGCAACTATTTTTTTTCCAGGCGGATATATTATAACTTCATTCTGAAACAACTCGAGCTCTCCAACATATATTTGAATGATGAGTTTCAAAAAATACATAATATTGAAAATGAATAAACGACTCTGAAAATAATGCAAAAGTTTTTTTTTGCTATGTTTCGTGAGAAGTTCGATCTAAAGATAATTTGTATACAAAATTCCCTAGGTTTTCGGCCATATTGAATGCGATACACATGCGCCGCACATATCCTTGCCTGTGTGGACATGTTTTTTGCTAAAACAATTTGGCATGGGAAAAATGGAACATCGAGAAAAATTCGTTATTCGGGGCTCTAAACATGTTAGTAAAGGTTAAAACTAATATGAATTTGTAGAGAATTGCATACTGTTCCAGAAAATGTATTTTAGAAAAAGAAAAAAAAATTCGTTCAGTATCGGAAAATTATTATTTAAGTCTAATTATCTGTTTCTTTGAAACTAATGAAAAACTTGCAAAATTTCGGTCGAAAAGTGGATCAAAACATAATTTATCATACCCTATTTGAAAGAGTGATAAAAACACTTCTAGTTTCTATAATTATATAATTTCAATTGTATTTTGTTATAGGAAAAAATGTGTTTGATACAAGAGATACGTTTGAAGGAGATGAAAGTTGCAAAAGCTTTTCTGACGAACTTTTTTCTTCTTCAAAGCCAATCACAAAAGTTTTGTTTTCTATGTTTTTCACTACACGTTAAAAACAATGTCTTTAGCGGGGTCAGGCCAAAATGTTTTCAACGGGTAGGGTAGTCCATGATCCATGATGGATTTTTTTCGTCCGATGAAAACTTTCGAGACTCTTGTTATTCTGAACTTTTCGAACGTATGATCTAAAAGAGCGTAAAAGTCTGGTTCTACCGCGCTTCTCTCCAAACTTTTAAAAAGTTCTTAGATTGAAGAAAATTGACTGAACAAATTTCTTTTAATTTTTGCATTACTTGCTACATCATAGTTCATTTACAGAGGCGCTTTTCAAATCTATTCTGTTACAACACGTTTTGCTCTTCGTCATTATATTACGCTTGTTCTCTTTTTGTTCTTTTTCTTTCTACTTTCTGTTGCCAGGTACAGTGGAAGTGAAATACAAATAAAATTTGAATTGATATAAAAATAAAATATGATTTCATTTGCTAACTGTTTTCTTTTCAACATTTCAAGATTGAGAAAATGTTTCTACTCAAATAATTCTAGTTTTTTAAATTCAAAATTTTAATAATATTTTTCAAATTACACACCAGTGAACTCAAAAAGATAATTTATTTTTGGATATGCAGTTGATCTACGAAGAAAATACTACAAGATTGAGTAACGGAAGAACATTACTATTCATCAAATGGATGTGGAAAACTTTAGAAAGAGGTTGAAGTAAATCTTAAAAATATTTAAAAAAAATACTATTAATGACGATGACGTTATTCCGATAGAATTTCTTCATGACAACAGAAGAAGTAACTATGCTCAAATATTAAACCAGACATTATCACTGTCATATAACACTGTGATCTTACGAAGAAAGGTCGTCAATTGATTGAGAACTTTTTGGATAAATGATAATAGTGCTATGTGTAATCGATAACGCTGATTAAAAATCTGACACTCGTTATGGTCGACAGGTGGTTCTTGAACGAATTTCTGTAATTGAATCTCTGAGAAATAAAAAAAAAATTAATATGAGATTGTTATCTTGTCGAGCATATAGAATTCACTATGTTCTATTTGAGTTTATCAAATGAGCATGGACGAACAATAGTATAAGATTTTGCATATAGAATTTGACAGTAAACAAGAATCTAAGAGCTTTGTTTACTAGGATTCACAAAATTCTCACTTAATCAACGCACGATCTATGCTCGTATAACTTTATGATCATACTGTTAGTAAAAAAATCGAGCGTTCACCTTTATTTATTATGCTTTTATTGATCATGATAAAAGAATCCCAAAACGTAATTTGAGCAGCAAAGTGTTTCCAATCGTGAGGCATATTTATGAAAATTTCACAAAAATGGTTGAACACTGGGACGCTAGAAAACCAAGGCCCTGAAATTAATTGATAATTTTTTGTGAATAACTTCGTTGTTTCAATCAATTTCAGAGTCTTGGTTTTCTAGCGGTTGTGTTTTCTGACATCCCAGTGTTCGGCCATTTCTTTACGAAATTTCCATAAACATGCCTCCGGATTGGAAACTTCTGGCTTTTGTTGTATACAGCAAATATTAGTGAAAAAAATGAGATGTTTTTGAACTTTCTACAACATTTTTTCGTCAAAATGCATTTGATTTACAAAAACCCATAATAGTCAAAGCCGACAACATCGGCAGAAAAACAACAATAAATATCGGTAGAGTCCTTCGTAAACTTAAGATATTTGGATAAAAAATATGGCAGGGAACTTGACCACGTCTCATTTTGTTCATAAAATGAGAATTTTGTGAATCCTAGTAAACAAAGCTCTTAGATTCTTGTTTACGATCTCGGAAAGTTTTTATTTTAATGTTTTTTTGATTTCCAAGAGATCAAATTTCAGAAATTCGTTCAAAAATCACCTGTCGACCACAACGAGTGTCAGATTCACAAATAAAGTGAATCTATTCATTTGATTCTTTGTCCAATCGTCTAAATTGTGCAATATTTATTTGTTTATAATTTTCTTTCTCATTTTCAGATGCAGAAAAAATTGTCTCTTAACTGATGATGGATGCTCTACAGCGTTGTTATTTCCAACAGCATCAAAACTCAAATAGAAGAAAATGCGAAATTTGGTGAAAAAAATTGTTTTGACTATCATAATATTTTTTATGGTCAATTTGGTATTGCTCTTGCGTATTAGAAGTTCAAGTTCAATAAAGGACGTATGTATTTTTTTGTTTTTCTTTTTGTTTTACAAAAAACGTTTTTCCTTTATTTTCGTAGAACGTCCATCATCAAAAGGAACCTGTTGTATTACAACTACGTTCCACCATCAAGACATCTTTATTATCTTCATTATCCGTTTCGTTAGCATTATTACCGGTAAGCTCGGCTGGTCAATTTTTTGTAGACTCAATAGTAGAATATAACATTTTTTTGGTAGAATATTAGTGTAGTGTTACCTATTGTGGTATTTGCATGTAATCGACCATTTGCACTCAAAAACCATGTTGATGCGTTGATAAGGTAGATTTTATAGATTTCTAGAGTATTTACTATACATACTGATTTTTCTCTTCTTTAGTATTCGAAAAAATAGTGAATTAAATCCAATTATAATAAGTTTGGACTGTAATGATACAAGTACGGCTAATGTTGCTCAAGAATTTGGTACAAACGTCACAGCCATTATCAAAGTAACTGACTATTGTCCTTGATCACAGAATAGACAGAACATTTGTTTTTCTTATTTTAGCAACCAGATCATAGTAAAATTGCTGTATCAGAGAGTGATCAGCATATGATAGGCTATTATAAGATTGCGCGACATTATTTGTACACATTAAATCATATTTTTAATGAATTAAATTATGATGTCGCCATTATAACAGAAGGTTTAGATTATAATAATTCTTTTCTCATATTCATTTTGCTATTTTTATTTTAGATGATTTAGAAGTGGCACCAGATTTTTTGGATTATTTTTCAACACTTTATCCATTATTAGTTTATGATAAAACACTTTGGTGTGTGTCAGCGTGGAATGATAATGGGTTAGCTAATAAAATAAATCCGGAACCAAGTAAGAATATTAAATAAAATTATTTTCTAATTTTTTTTTTTAATACTGAGTTTCTCTTTTAGCGTTATTGCATCGCACGGATTTTTTTCCTGGTCTAGGATGGATGTTTACAAAATCTGCATGGAATGAAATCAAAGCAAACTGGCCAAAAGCGTAAATATTTTTTTAAAAGTTTGAAATGTGTTTTAGAAGAAATGAATTGTGTATTTTAGCTACTGGGACGATTGGCTGCGACAACCAGAGCAACGAAAAAATCGTTCATGTATTCGACCTGAAATATCTCGTACAGGAATTTCGCCTTATGGGCAGAAGGGAGTGAGTAAGTACGTATGCTTTTGTGTTTACTTTTATTTCCAATAAAGAATGACATACTTCAAAGATCAATTCATCCTTTTTTTTTCTCTATCGTTTAGTGGTCAATATTATGATCAATATTTAAAAAACATTGTTAGAAACAATATTATGGTAAAATGGAAAGAAATTGATGTCAGTTATTTATTAAAGGTTTCTATATTGTACAAATTAAGAAAATTTTATCTAAAAAGATGTCATTATTTAGGACCAATATGATGTTTGGTTTCAACAACGTGTTAATTCTTGTAAAATTATAACAATATCAGATTTGGTCAGTTTAGCAGATATATCATGTGCACGACTCATATATAATACCAATGAACAATTTGTTATTATTGCTAATACTTTAGGAATCATGAACGATTTTAAAGTAAGTAGAAAAAAGGATTTTTCAACTTTCTATCTTTATCCTATTTCGGTAATTTAGTCTAAAAGAAGTATCATCTTGTACGAATATCAGAATACTTCAGAAAAGTACGTCAGAATGTTTAACAGCTTGCGACAGAAAAGCTGTAATAGTGAGTAGAATTCAGCAACGAGTAAGAAAAGAGTAAAGAATGCTTATAAGATAGCTAATTCACGTTTACTAGATATAACTATGAATTTAAGATCAAATTTCTGAAAGGAGATAAATTCATACAATTTTCTGGCTTCCAGAGCTTTTGAAAATAAACTCATTCAAATATGATTGTTTCTAATAAAAATGCTTTTGACTCCAGTTCTAACTAGTCTGAGTGCCAAAGAGTAACTAAAATCACTGATTAGTTGTCTTTTTTCACTAGTTTTCGACTTGTCTGTGCACTACTTAAAGACTGGTCAGTTTTCGGACAAAAACTGAAATAGCCAGCAACTACTATCTTTTACAATTTTATGAGAGCGCTGATTGTTTTGAATATTATTTGAACAAAACATGATAGAAGCTTGCGGTTCTATTCAATAGCCAAGACTTTAAGGCATCTTTTCATAAGTAAGTCTTTGAAGTTACTTTTCAAAAACTAGTTTTCTGAACGATCGCTTCTCACTTCTCGATCGAAAAATCAACAGAAAATACTTTGGTTTTTTTAAATGTTTTCTAAAAAATTTCCGAAAGAAAAGAATATTTTTCACTAGTCTGAAGTAAAAAACCATATTGAGCTGGTACAACAGAGCACATCATGGTATTCTGATGTAGTCTGGATCGGTTTTGACTGAATTATAAATTTTCTAGGTTTATGTGAAAATAAGCAAAAACGGGTTATTTCACCTAATAGAAGTTTTCACTGGGTCTTTGTATCTTTTTGAAGAAAAAACATTGTTAAAAGATTTAGCGTGGTTGATAACTTATGTTTCCATTCATTTTCGGCATTACAATCCCGAAAGAAATATCGATCCTCGGACTTCCAGAAATCCAATGCCGCGCCTAAACCACGAAAGATCAAGAAATCGCTTGGATCCCGTTTTGAAGAGGACACTTTGCGCTATCTACCCATGAAAAAAAACAAATATATTGCTCAGTTGAATTATCAGGTTATAAAGTGATTTTCCAGCGATCGCTGAGAAAACTAGTTTTTAAAAAGTAACTTCAAAGACTTACTTATGAAAAGATGCCTTAAAGTCTTGGCTATTGAATAGAACCACAAGTGTCTATCATATTTTGTTCAAATGTTATTCAAAATAATCAGCGCTCTTATGGTTTGAGGAGAATGGCAGTTCCTTTTTTTCTAACTAGTCGGAGACGACACTGAGAACTTTTCGGACTAGTCACGAATGGAGTCAACAAAAAATCTGCATCTGCTTTGGAAATGCATGATTATTATTTCGATTGTTTTTTGTACCGCGATTCGTATAAAAATCATTTTCATTCTCATTATACCTTTCACCACCTCTAGCCGTGAGTAGAAGACGTCTTATTAATCGCGTACTATACGTTGAATAAGACTTATTATTACACCATTTTCGATGTGTTGTTTTGCTAAATTTCTTGTTGCCTTTGTGTTTGTACGGGTTGGTCATGAATAGTTTATTTCATAATTATCTAGTAGATAGTTTTTATGGTTCTTGTTGTATTTTTAGCAGTTACAGTTTTTCAAAGTTCTTAGTAATTATTTACATGCACGCTCTTTTTGCTCTAATTTTATATGAAAAATCCTGTCATCATTTACACCAAGATCATCGAAATTATTATTTGCTGCTTTCGCTTGTTTGTTTGATTATCATGATTGTTTGTTGACATCTAAAAGAATGTTTTAAAAAATATTCAGTGGCATCATGAGTTCAAAATCATGATCGTATTGATCAATGATCTGATAATTGTACTTAGTGCTAGGAGAAAGATGTATTGCTGATTTATTATACATAATATGCGTTACTAGTATTAATTTAGCATTATTCACTGATTTTTTCTTCCGTTGTAGAAAATAGACTCATTACTTGAAACATGTATCACCAATTGAGTATTTGATATATTGCTCTTGTCAGTTATGAACATTTGACTACTAAAACTCATTTTAACACCGAATTCGGTTGTTGAACTGTGCATTTTTAGATTATTGCCGTTTTCATACATTAAAGCATAAAAATAAAAACAAATCAAGATGTTATATTAAAACAGAAAACATAATAGGTAAAGAAGACAATAACAGAATGGAACCAGTGAATAAATACTTATTAAAACTATTCAATATTCTTCTATCGTAAAACATGGCATTCACAACATGGAAGATTTACACTGCATAAGGCATATTGAGTGTTGCAAATAGTCGCAAATCAATATCAAAAAGAAAACAACAAAAGCAAAACTTCACTTCTATAACTGGTTCATTTTCAAAAAAATAAGAAATGCAATGACAACTAGTAGCGAGATCAACGGATATACTAACATCGATCACTGATTCAATCATCATCTAGAAGAATTATTCAAGCAAAAACGACCCAATTTTTTTGGGTTATTTATCTAGATTCAGCTCCACGTACATCTAGATGCGCGTGGAGCTGAATCTAGATAAATAATCCAAAACATTGGGTCGTTTTTGCTTGGATGTACAGCCACACACACACAATTCACACATGTTAGATGGTAGATTTTTTCAAAATCGAATTTTATCATTTTCGAGCTTTCGATGTGATTTTACTTTATTATCAGGAAAAAAAATACGAAGAAAAAGATCAATTAAAGGTTGAAAGCTCGAAAATAATATCTAAACTGTATAAGAATCTTGTTTTGTCGTAGTAGTTGTATACTTCATTTATTTGCTACTACTCTTCACTTCTGAATTTTACACAGACTGTATAGTTTGAAAAACATCAATGTAATGGAACAACAAAATTGAACTTTTCTCAGACAATGAAGAAATGTATTTCTTAAGTCTTTTTTCTTGTTGAAAGCACAGTGGACAGATATACTGGAACATCTATTTCGCGAGAAAACCTTCTTAGTTGATCCAAAACTTTTCTAATTAAAACTATCCTTTCTAGGGTAATTCTTAATGTTGATCACGAATCCAATGTCGGTTTGTTTCCTTGTTGAGGTTCTCAGTGGGATCTTTAAAAGTTTTTTTCTAGAGACCAATGATGAATTTGAGAGTCAAGAGTTTCTAATCTGGACAGTTTGTAGCGCTCATCGAGTTGCCTCTATGAAAAATTTAGCACTACAGAACAAGTTTTAATTGAGTTAGAAAAATATTAACATCAAAACCAATTGAATATTTGACTTTTTCTCAATTAACTTTTTTTAATAGTGAAATTTGATAACTTAATTAGTTTTATCATTTAAAACAATACAGATACTCTTTCTCATCTTGAACAAAAATGAAATGGACCATATTTATCAGAGGATTATTATTATTCGTGCATCACTGATAAAATGTTAAACCTGGCAATGTCGGTATGAAGTTCAAGTTACTCATTTATCATCGATTTTTCTCTAATAGAAGTTTCATCCTGCCTTTAGTTACACATTATGTTCTAGTTTTTCATTCGAAAGCTATATAAACTGTTAATATGTAAAAATATTTAAAAAAATGCGTTATTCTGTTAACTCTACCATCAATTTTTGTACATTGACATTTTACTGTCGCGCTGACATTTTTTCAACGTCAAATTTTATTGTAGAAGCGTATATTTCAGAACCAGAAACAAACAAGTGATATAAAATTTTGACCTTATTCCTCTTTTAGTATCAAGGTAATATTTTATTTAATCATTTCGTGTTTAGAGTAACGTACCACGAACCAGTTACCAAGGTATTGTACAATGTCGATATGGTAAAACAACAATCTATGTAACACCAAAACAAAAATTATAATCTGATTATTAATATAAGTAAAATTTTTACTGTTTTCGCCTAATACATTCCGTTATTTTTATTTTTTGCTACGACAGTTTTTAATTATCGGAAAAGCGTATTGTGATACATTATTTTTATTTTTCGATTATTCATTTTGTTTTTATTTAATTTATTTATTTAATGGTTTTATTAAAACTGATCTGAAAACATTGAATAAAACAACTATGCAGAAGACAAGGAAGATGAAGAAACTAAATCCCACATCTAAAATAATTTTATTATGTTGAAGAAATTGTTGTCAGGTAATAACAGCATTTTGCTAAGATGTAGAATAGTTCCTTCTCCATTTTATGGCGAATATATATAGTTGTTCAACAACAACATTACATGTTCAAAATACGACAAAACATTGAATACATCCGCGAAGTATTTAAACAATAAATGAAAAATTACAAAAGATATGGTCAAATATTTTATGAACAACAATGAAAATCAATTTGAACTATTATAGCAAACGTGAAAAACACTGATCCTAAGCAGAATACATACCTGGGATTATTTCAGAGGGGCTTTTTTGAAAGACAACTTAAATAGTGCACATGTACAGAAATGAATTGTCTAGTAGAACTTCTTGTAACCAAAATCTTGAAAAGAAATTTCAAGAACCCAAGATCTTGAGAACGTATTGAAATTTGTTGAGTTCTTGTATTACGATCACTCTTGCTGACATGTATCTTCGAAATTTTTCCTTTATTGAACACAGACAGCTGTACAAGGATGAGTCTATTCCCACATATGATTGCATATCTAATGGTTATGGCTGTCATATAAGAAAATATAAAAAGTTTTTATTACAATACAACATTTTGGCTCGATTTACTCGAGATCTTAAAATTTCTATTCTCAAGATCCTGGCCAGAAGCTTGGATATAAGAAGTTTTACTAATTATGATATTTTCCTTTGTTCCAAATATATTAGCTGTTCTGGATGTCGGCAACGATTTGAAAACGTTCATGCCGAATCGGTGGTGCAATAGTATGCACGAGCTTGAGCAGTGCAATACTTTCTCTAAAACGTTTTTCAGGAAAAAAAACGTTAATTTTTTTTAAAATAAATTCTCAATTTCTTATAAAAAAATTTTCAATCGGCGACACGATTAACGTCATCGATCCGCATAACTTCAATTCCGCATATTGAAACAAAACATAAATACATTTTTGTATATTCATTAGTGGGGCCACCTCTCGTATATGCATCTGTCAATTTGGTTGGTGTTAGCCTCAGGCGAATGAATTGTTGAAATGAGATGAGGAGAGGAAAAACAAAACAAGATGTAAAATAGAGTAAAGCAAAGTATAATATGTTAAACAAAATACGTTAAACCATAATACATAGTAAAGCAGAATGAAAATTTCTTTTCTTCTTTCAATTAAATCACCTTCTCCTTGCTTGTATAGGATGCCTCTTAAGTTTAGCGGTGCTCTTTCGTAAAAAGCAGCAGCATTGAGAATTTTTACAAGAGTGAAATGGAATATGGCATGACGTTTTGTTTAGAATATCAAAATATGAATTTTTTTGAACCTTATCCTAAAATATAAATAGAACAAAGTGGAATCAATACAATTTTTCTAGTAGCATTCGGTTTTTTCAGTTAAATATTGAAGTAATCCCATTATGGAGTTACATGACGCGTTAGATGGTATAATCATCTCTACTTACAGCAAGTGTTATGTATGAGATTGAATAAAGGTGATGAAAAGAAAAAACTAGTACATTTGCTTTGATGTGAACGTGAGATTTTGAGTTCTCCCCGTCTATTTAAATTATTCAAATTAAACTCTCTTTTTAAAACATATTGTTTTATGCAATTAAAGTAATAATATCAAGATAATAAAAATGTATGACTTCGTTCTTCTCGTTTTGCTATTATCACGGATAGTTAATAGCCATTTCATAGTTTTTAGTTGTAAGAATGATGGCAAAGGATTTAAAAGATTGCTCCACTCAAAGAACATTTCGTTTTATTTACTTATTTTCCGAAACAACTTTTAATCTATCAATTTATTTCTATTTGCTTTTAGATTTTAAATTAGATCATATTGTTTACATGATGCTATCTACGAAAATTGACAGTGATGATTGTCGTTAAACTAGACAATAATATTGTGTTTATCTTTATGTAATTTTATTTGATTCATTTATCGTACTTTTATTTCTTATAAGAATCTCTATTGTTTTATTCATATATTTAAAGTGTCTATAATTTTGTTTTTTTCATCAAAATGGGACAAACTAATTCGATGACAAATTTTTCACGACGCATAGCACTTTATACAGATAGAAATAAACGTAGTAATGAAAATATATTAGGCTTTGGTGATGGAAACGATTTGAAACGAGTAATAACAGTAAATGCACCACAACAGGTCAAATATATTTCCAATAGAATCAGTACAAGCAAATACTCATTTTTAACATTTTTACCAAAATTTTTATTTGAACAATTTCGAAAATATTCCAACATATTTTTTCTTTGTATTGCTATTTTGCAAGTATGTTTATTATCAACTAGTTAAGATTTATTGACTATTTGATTTGGATTATTCTTCAGCAAATACCTGGAGTCTCACCGACTGGACGCTATACAACAGCTGTACCTTTACTTATGATACTTTGTTGTGCTGCTATCAAAGAAATTATTGAAGATTTTGTAAGTGCAATAAAATATTGACTTTACTTCCATATATCGTAAATAAGCCGATTTTCAATTATAGAAACGACATATTCAAGACGGTGCAGTGAATAATCGAAGAGTATTAAGTCAGTACTTACTATGCTCAATGTTGTTAAGTTTAATTCTTTATGTTTCATGTTAGTTTATCGTTATGGCAATTGGTTATATTCAAAGTGGATGAATGTGAGAGTAGGTGATATTATTAAAGTAGCCGATAAAGAATTTTTTCCAGCTGATCTAATTGTATTATCATCAAGGTAAAAATGTTTCATTGCTCTTCTATTTGTATAAAAACGATCCTTTAAAAAATATTTAGTGAACCACATTCCATCTGTTATATACATACGTCAAATTTAGACGGCGAAACAAATTTAAAAGTTCGACAGGTATACTTTTTGTTTGTTTTTTAATATTGCTTGTAACTGTTTGTTTCATTATATTTTGTGCTCTAGGGTTTACCACAAACATCCCATATTATTTCCAGTTTACAACTCAAAGCTTTACAGGGCACAATTGAGTGTGAATTACCAAATCGACACCTATATGACTTTGCTGGTACTTTAAAACTGGCAAATGTTGCACATCCTATACCATTAGGTTCAGATCAAATTTTACTTCGTGGTTCACAACTCAAAAATACAGGTTGGGTGTACGGCTTAGTTATCTATACTGGAAAAGAAACAAAGTTAATGATGGTGATTAACGTTTTCTTTTTTTTTTCTTTTATTGTTAGTACTGATTTCTCTATCCTATTTAGAATTCATCTTCTGTTCCATTTAAACGAACAAATGTTGAACAAATAGCTAATAATCAGGTAAGAAAAAAGAATAAATACATTGTCAATCACAAATTTATTGAGAAATTTCTTTTCACATTTAGATACTTCTTCTACTATTTCTTTTATTAATCCTATGTTTATTCAGTACAATTGCGGGTGAAATATGGAATTACAAGAATCGTGTTGCTCATTGGTATTTGGGTCTAACACGAATGCCTGATAGCAGTTCTGGTATATTGTTCTTTTCTTGCTTCATATATACAAATATACATCATTCTATATCGTAAATTTTAACTTAATATTTAGCTGCGGTACCCAATCATGTTGGTTATACATTTCTGACATTTTTTATTTTATTCAATAATTTGATACCAATATCGTTACAAATAACAGTTGATTTAGTTAAATTTATTCAAGCTTACTTTATCAATTGGGTATTTGTTAATAAAAGTATTCTCGTATATTTATTATATTCATCAATTTTGTTTTTCCTAGGACAAAGATATGTATGATGAAGAATCAGATATTCCAGCAAATGCAAGAACATCAAATTTAAATGAAGAACTTGGTCAGGTAAATATATGATTTTGGGAGGAGAAACAAAATCAAATATTGTATTGTTTTTCTTTTTTTTTTTAAGGTTAAATATATTTTCTCTGATAAAACTGGTACATTGACAAAAAATGTCATGGTTTTTAAACAATGTTCCATTGCTGGTATTATGTATGGGTAAGTCGAAAGAGAGAAAATGCTGAAGCGCTGAACATTAATTCTTTCTTTCTGTTGTTTCTAGTTCGGGTAATATTGAAAAATTTAATCATTTTCAATTAATGCAGAATTTAACTAATCATGTACGCCAGATTACAATTTGAGTTTTTATGTATTTAAATATTCATACGAGAGTTTTTTGTTATTTAGGAATCGGGTGGTGAAATTCGAGAATTTTTAACATTATTGGCCACATGTCATACGGTTGTTCCTGAAAAAAAAACTGATCTTTTAGTCGATGTGACGTATCAAGCATCATCACCAGGTGACAAAAGAATACTCAAAGAAAAGATTGATTGGTTAATTAACTAATGAATCTTTTATTTTTAGATGAATCTGCATTAGTTGCAGCACTAAAAGAAATGAATGTTATTTTTTTTCGTCGTACACCGGATAATGTTGCCATCAGCTTTGTAAGATTAGATGGGTGAAATAAAATATTTATTTATTTAGTATTTAACTTTTAGATGGGTGAAGAAGAGATATATGAAATATTAAATGTTCTGGAATTTAGCAGGTAAATTTTGTTTCTACTGTAAATATCTGAACGTCAGATAACAACTATGATTCTATTTTAGTGATCGAAAGCGAATGAGCGTTGTAGTTCGATGTCCTGATGGCCAGATCAAATTGTTCTGTAAAGGAGCCGTACGTATCGAAGTGAACTGAAAATATTCACTGTGTTTATTAACATCATATGTATTATTATTTAGGATAGCGTTATATTACAACTACTTTCTTCAGATGATCCTAATAGTGGTATAACATCGCAACATCTCGAAAGTTTTGCTAAAGATGGACTTCGAACTTTATGCGTTGCATCTCGAGTTATATTATCAGATGAATACAACGTAGAAAAAATCTAAACAATCAGATTTAATAGATTTTTTTATGTATTCTTCTTCTTCTTCTAGTCATGGATTGAAATTTATCGTCAAGCAGCAACAGCAATAAATAATCGAGCGGAATTGGTTGCAGAGGCAGCTGAAAAGATTGAAAAAAATCTACATTTATTAGGTGCAACCGGAATTGAAGATAAACTACAAGATGTATATTTTAAGAAAGATGTCTTTGTCATTGTTATTCTTCCTATGTTTGCTTTTTTATAGCAAGTACCAGAAAGTATATCAATGTTACATAAAGCCGGAATTAAAATTTGGGTCTTGACTGGTGACAAAAAAGAAACAGCAGTCAATATTGGTAAGTAAAAATGATACTTCTTATAGAGTTAAATGTTCCAGTAGGAGATTATAGTAGTGTCTAGTGTCTGATAAACTTTTACTTATATTTTTTTTATTTAATATCAGGTTATTCGTGTAAATTATTATCGGATCAATTATTGAATTTGACACTCGATGAAGATTCATTAGAAGTAAAACACTTATTTTATTTAAACTCTAGAACTATGGACGCACTTTCTTGTAGGATACAAGACGACAATTACAGGATCATTGTTCATCGTTTGGTGAATCACTTCGAAAAGATAATTTGGCTTCACTCGTTATCGAAGGAAAGGTTAGAGAAAAAAATCTTAATTCATGAATCTAAAGTTTTTCGTATGTGTTTTAGACACTGAAGTTTGCATTGGCTCCACCATGCAGACAAGATTTTTTGGATTTAGCTATTTCATGCAAATCAGTTATTTGTTGTCGGTTCGTCTAAACTATCTTATCAGAAGCACATAGTATAAATGTAATTGTTATGATTTGTTTTAGTGTTAGTCCAAAACAAAAGGCTGAAGTTGTTGAACTTGTTAAACGATCAACTGATGCTATAACATTGGCTATTGGTGATGGAGCAAATGACGTTGGAATGATTCAGGTTAGAATAGCAAAAAAAAAATTGCTATGCTTTAGAAAAATTTCAGAGTTTCTCTTTCTAATAATATTTCTTTGACGCCTTGTAACTAACTGCTTGTAATTTTGTCTTTGTGAAGACTGCGCATGTCGGTGTTGGTATAATGGGACGAGAAGGTATTTCAAACTAATAAAATTCATGTTTTTTTACAGTAATTTATTTTTTGGTTTTAATTCATTTGAAAAGGTGTTCAAGCAGCATGTGCATCTGATTATTCAATTGGACAATTTCGTTTTCTAACCAAATTATTATTTGTGCATGGCGTATGGAGTTATAGACGTTTGTGTAAAGTTTTATTATATTCATTTTATAAAAATATTTGTTTATACGTAATGGAGGTAAGTTAACACAATTTGGATAATACCATATCTAATTTTGATTTCTAAATGATTTTTAGCTTTGGTTTGCTGTACACAATGGATTTTCTGGTCAAATATTATTCGAAAGATGGACAATTGCAACATACAATGTTGTAAGTCATTTTCGATCTTTCTCTTAGAGAAAAAAAAATGTATTATTTATTGTTTTTTAATCTATACTTAGTTGTTCACAGCAGCACCTCCAATGGCACTGGGATTGTTAGATCGCTGTTGTAGCGCTGAAACAATGATGAGATTTCCAGCATTATATAAAATGTCACAAAATAAGTCTGATTTCAATATAAAAGTTAGTTAAACATTGATTATAAAGCCACTAGATGTAAATTAATTACTCCATTTTTTCTTCTAGATATTCTGGACATGGTGCCTGAATGCTGTTTATCATTCAATTATATTATATTTTATGTCTTATGCAATGTTACGTCACGGTATGTTTGTCTTTTCATTATCTATGAGATCATTGTCGGTTTGATACACATGATAATGAAGAGAATAAGAGTACCCTTTCAAAAAATTCAGAGTTTATTGAGAATATAAAAAATAATGTAATAAAGATTAACAGTACATTTAACTTTAATAGATGTTGTACATCCAAATGGAATAGTATTTGGTAGCCATTTATTTGTTGGAAATTGTGTTTATACTGTAAGAATTTTCGAAATTAATAACATAGAATGTTAGCTTGTGTGATTTGAGCGTTCAATTTTATCATCTTAATCAACGTATTAGTTCGTGCATGAGTTTTTTTAACTTTTCACATATTTGCAGATAACGATGCCTTTTTCATTTTTATCCTTGAAATGTACCATACAGTTTAATTAACATACACTCTTTAAAATTTTATCATCGCACTAAATGTTTATTGTTTACTACTCTTTTTATGCACATTCTTATGCACATTACTCATTTCTTTTTTTCTTGATGACAAATTGGTGATTGTTTATTGGTAGGAAATATGGCTTATACAGTAGGTTGCTGTAGTCTAGTTGGCACGTTTTGTCTGCTTTTTACCTTATATACTGATTACGAAACTTAAATGTATAATTAATTGTCATTTGTCTATTTTTTCAATTCTAGTATGTAATCTTTGTTGTCTGCATCAAGGCCGGATTGGAAAGTGATGCGTGGACACTTGTATGTATATGAAAATAAATATTTTAAAATGATTTTTCTCACTTATTTCGTATTAGTTGACTCATATTTCAATATGGGGCAGTATTGCATCATGGTTCCTGTTTTTAATCATCTACAGTAATTTTTGGCCAACAATACCATTGGCACCAGAAATGAGAGGAATGGTAAACTTGTGGAAAATATTTTGAATTGTTCCATTAAACATATGCTCTTATAATGATTGTTATTGTAACAGCAGTTATCTTATTTGACAGATTGATACTTTAATTACGTATTTTTATTAAAACATATTTAAAAATATTTAACAAAACAAACGTTTCGACCTCTTTTATTGAGGTCTTCTTCAGCGTACGTAATAAAATACATATAAAAAATAGTTAAAATTTCTGCTAGATATTTCGGTATTTCGTATCGGCCAATTGTAAATTTCAACAAGCAGTTATCTTGAATCTCATTTTATTTATATATGCAAAATTAGTTTATTTATTTCGACGTTTTTCGACAAAACATTTATCATTTTCAAGAAAGTAAACCGTGTTGAGTGTACCTAGAAAATTGAAAGTATGAAGTTCATAAGTGTATTACTTTCTTGAAAATGATAAATGTTTGGTCGAAAAACGTCGAAATAAATAAACTAATTTTATATATATAAATAAAATGAGATTTAAAATAGCTGCTGTTACAATTACAACAATTCTCCTAAATCGATTCAATATGTGCTCTTATTTGTGTGTATACTAATGATGATTATTTTTCAAGGCAAAATATGTGTTTTCAAGCATGTACTTCTGGTTTGGTCTTATTCTGATACCATTCACAGCATTGATGGCCGATGTTATTTATAATTGGTATGGTATACTTTTATTAATATGAAATAATGCATAATATTATGGTTATTTTTAGTCTCCAACGAACACTATACAAAACATTAATGCAAGAAGTACAAGAGAAAGAGTTGGCAAATCAGGATCCATATGATTTAGTTATGGCTCGACAAACGTCAACTGTTTCACGGTACCTTGACCGATATTTTTAAAAAATATAATCGTATAGTTTATACTTGATTATTTAGTGTTGCTGAACGTTTGGCACTGTTGAAGAGTGTATTCGTACGAACAAGAACACCGAAAATGTCTGGTATTGTTGCTGGCCCTTATCGTAAGTTTTTATTAATTTCAATTTTTGCTTTTTTCACTATAAGATTTAATATTTTTTAGATGGATTTGCATTTTCTCAAGAAGAAGACGGTGTTGTACCACAAAATCAGCTAATTCGAAATTATGATACAAATATAGTAAAACCTCCCGGTTTATAAAAAAAAGTAAATTTATTAAACAAAAAATGAATATCCAATTCTCCTAGTCATATTTATGTCATTATTATTGTTGTTTGAGTGTAAGTTTTGTTACATATTTGACAAATAACTAATGACATCTATTATTATCTTTTAATTTAGCCACGTTTACCAAAGTGTGTGTCTTTGTCCATCTGAATGTGTGTATATTGAATTATTTATTTAATTTTTTTTGTATGTTTGTTTTTGAGTGATGGTGAATGATATGCACAATGCAACTTTATTCTGTATTTTACTTTTTATAATACTAAGTACATGTTTAGGATTGTAATTGAGTATTAACTATCGTGTTATAATATACATGCTTATCGCTTTTGCTCTACTATGTTGTCTGATTTAATCTCAATTTATTCTCGACGCCTACACTCACTCAACCTTTTGGTGTTAATTGATCTTACAAACTAATTAGGAAGAAATAGAGAACATATCCTACGTTAGTCCTACTTACTATCTTTGGTTCTTTATCACAGCATAGTTAGAAGTTCAATCTCTTACCACACGATGAGAGTTAGACGTTGAGTAAATATAAAACTATTTGCGATTATATTTTGACTTATTTGTCATTTTATTTTTCAATGTTGTTTCTTTTTAACTTACTAACTGTGAAGATTATTTTTCTGACTTTATCATCTATTTTTCTGTCAACTTTCTCTTCTATAAATGTCGTCACATAGCCTTGTTTATGATTACATATTATTCGTATTGTATTCACTTTCTTTCATCATTGTTATTTAAAAATAAACAATATATGGGACTGTTGTGAATATAGAAAAGAAATGTGTCTAGGACAAACTTCATGGTTCTTCCATTTCATTCATCTAATTCTCTAAAAAATGATCTGTTTGAATTTGCTCTTAGAGACACGTAACGATCGCATATGAGTTATAACAACTTCTGAGACGGGCGTTTTTATTCGATTTCCTTTTACCGATATAATCTAGGCTATGTACTCTGGTGATCGTGAAAGCTTGGTTAAACCCATTTTTGATGAACTTTTTCATGGCCCATAGCAACGCTCTCATTGGCGCCATAAGAATCAATGGTTACACTACGTACACTGTGCAAGACGTAGTGCGTCATATATAATAAAATTTAGCGAAACTACACTATTTCTTGAGCTGTAAATATTAGAATTAAATTCAGCATGTCCCGGCGGGTAGAATAAGCGCAAAGCAGATCAAAGAAGTCGCTTTCTGCACTAATTAAAATTCAGTGCGCGTAGATCATAGAAAAGGCGCCTAGCATGAAAGATAATCATACTAATTAGCTCATTTTCTTTATGGAACGACTAATTCGAGATACGTGCATATCTCAGAGAATCCAAGCGCGTATTACAAGAAAGTTACGCATCGTATCTCGCGCGTTTTCCAATGGTTTAAAATTCATTTTTTAAAGCCTGGTTACATCATGTTTTACTCGGACTTTTCTTCGAGAACAGGAGATAATGAAACTTGCTGAGAAAATTATTTTAGTGGAAATCATGACCGAAAAATGAAGAATTTTGTTCTGCCACTAAATCGCCAAATAATAGACCCTCAAACTTAGTGTGAACATACAGTAATTTCGAATCATCACCTTTTTGCATGACGTTCCCGAAGAAAAACCGGGTAAAACATCGTGGTCAATAATTTGATTGCTGCAGTTCTTCAAAAGTATAAAGATCAAAAGCGAAGAACTATAAACAAGTTCGTTAAAAAGTGTAGAGCCGACGATAAACATTCACTTCACGTCTTGGTATCTTTTTCAGACTTTTGTCAAAACGCTGTTTTTACTTTTTACTATTAAT